CTGTTTGAAACTTGACATTTCCTGGAGCGTTCCTGGGACCCAGTAGTGACTCAGCACACTCTTGTAGCTTGTTTAGCCTAGTGCACAGTTGCTTTGTGTTTGTGGCCATTGAGTATCTTCCAGAAGGGGGATTAATGCAAACTAAGTTTTGATAGGTAGTGCAGGTTTTCCTCCCTGGGTCCACTCTCCCAGCAGTATCATGAGTGCCTGTCCCCACTCCTCCCACCTTTTGATGTGCCTTTGAACCAGTGGGATTATGAGACATTTCTCATTTTCTCAATGAAGTTTTAGTTTGCATTTTTCTTAAGTAAAATTTTGAAGCCCTTTTCATAAACTTATGTGTCATTTTTATATCTTTATGTAAACTGTTCATATCATTTGCTCTTTGTTTTTTTAAAAGAAGTTTCATCCTCTTAGAAAAAAGTTTTGTTGAGGTATAATTGACATGCCATAAACTTCACATATTTGTCTAATTAGTTTTAATGCATATTTACACCTGTGCAACCATCACCACCATCAAGATGACGAACACATTCATGACCCAAAAGTTCCCTTGTGCCCTTTGTCATCCCTTCCTGCAGGCAGCTGCTGATCCGTGCTCTCTCACTGTAAATAGTTGGCATTTTCTATAATTATATGTAAATGCAGTTTGTTCTCTCCTTTTGTCTAGCTTCTTACTCCACATAATTACTTGGATTCAGCCATGTTGTGTGTATCCATAGTTCACTTTTGAATGCTGTGTATCACATTGTGTGGCTGGACCAGTTATTTACTCCTTCAGCTGTTGATGGCATTGAGTTGTTCCTGGTCTGGGATGATTACAAATAAAGCTGCTGTGAGCAGCCATTTACAAGGTCTGCTTTTATTTCTCTCCAGTAAAATACTGAGTCAGGGAAAGGCTGGCTGCCAAACTGACTTTCTAAGTGGTGGCACAGTTCTACATGTCTAGCAGCCTGGATGAGAGTTCTGGTTCTTCCCCATCCTCACCAGCACTTGATAGTGTCAGTCTTTTTCACATTAGCCCTCCCAGTGTGGAGGAGGGGGTTTCGCACTGTGGTTCTCATTTGTGTTTCCCTGAGGATAACTGTGTTGAGCATCTTTGCATGTGCTCGTTTATTTCTTTAGTGAAATGTCTTTTTGGATCTTTGGGCTATTTTTTAATTGAGTTGTTTATTTACTTACTAATGAATTTTGAGAGCTTGTTATATATTCTTAATACAAGTCCTTTATCAGATATGTGATTTGTAGATATTTTCTCCCAGTCTGTGACTTGTTTTCTCATTCTAGCAGTCTTTTGGAGGGCAGAAGTTCTTAATTTTTGCCCTTTTCTCGATTGGGCTTTTTGGATTTATTCTTAGTTTCTACAAGTGTTTACCTGTGATGTAATTGCATTTATTTCCTTCTTAAGTGGATATTTAACTTTCATTTTGCTTATGGTATGTTCTACAATGCAGAAATGTTTTATGTAGTCAAATTTATCAATTTTTTTCTTTTATTGCACCTGGATACTAAGTTACAGTTAGAAAGAATCTCCCAACACTCAGATTATAAAGACATTTATACATTTTCTCCCACTACTTGTATGGCTTGGTTTTTGCATTTAGATTTCCAGTCTTTGTGTGGTTATTTAGGAGCAGAAAGTACAGCATAGATCCAACTTAAATATTTTTCTAAAAAAGCTACCCAGTTGTCCCAACACTATTCATTTAAAAGATCTTTTTCACAGTGGCTTGAGGCCACCTTCATCAAATACTGGGTTTCTGGCCTTTCTCTTGGTCTGTCTGTCCACGGACCAGTACCATGCTGTTTTTTTCACTTTGTTTTGTTTCGGTTTTTTGCTATTTTGACTATAGAGGTTTCATACACCTTGTAATATCCATTGGAGCTGGACCCCTTGTTGATCTTGTCCAGGTTTTTCCCAGATATTCTTGCATATTTATGTTTCTATATGAACTGAAGAATCATACTGTGTTTCTATATGAATTAAGAATCATGTTTAGATCCAGAAAAAAAATGATGCTTTTACTGGGATACTTTTAAACTTTAATATGTTAATTAGGGGAAATTGACATCATTACGAAGCTGAGTTGTCCTATCTAAGGACAAAGGCTGTCTTTCCTTTGGCCCAAGTATATTTTGTGTGTTTTCAGTTTCTCACACCAGCCGCAGCTCCAGTGGCTCAGGCCGTTGGACTCTGCAGTGCAAAGAGGCCATATTACCATGACATTCACTCACCTTTGCTGCAGGACGTGAGGCAGAAGGTGCTGCAAGTGGCAGACCTTTTTCCATCTCATAGCTGGAGTGTGGGAGGAACAGTGAGCAAACGCAGGCCCAGAGTGGCCGGTGATGTAATTAGAAAGATGAAGTAAGGCCCAAGTCGGATCTTCTGGCTGTAGTGTTAGAGCTCGTACTAGCATGTTCCCTGGTCGTCCCTGCATACCTTGTTCCTCCACCTCCCTCCCCCGAAAAGCAGTTAGGCCTCTTACGTTCTGGCTCCTTTGTTAAATTACTAATACTCCTTAAACTATCTCATTGCACAGCTGACCATCAACCGTAGCTGGCAGAAAGAGGTCATGTTATTTGCTTCTTTGTCCCACTTCCAGCTTTGTTGAGTCCATTTGGAAGTTTCAGCGAATGGCAGTGTTCAGAGAGCCATCTGATTAACCATAACCAGTGTATTTCATCTTTATCCCAGGTTTCTACATGACCAAAATAGTTCAGCTTTCAAATTCTATCGAAAGAAAGTATTTGAACTGTGCCCATCGATTTGCTTTTCATCATCTCCGCTGACCCTCCAAGCCAACGAGAGCGCTGATTCTCAGGAGAGCCCCCTAGAACCCATGGAAGGGGAAGGAGAGTTTGAGGACGAACCCCCTCAGCATGAGGCCGAGCTGGAGAGCCCAGTGATGCCTGAGGAGGACGAGGACGAGGAGGACGAAGAGGAGGAGGATGAGGAGGGGGGTGAGGAGGTCCCCACTCCTGGAGAGGCCTCCAGGCCGATGGGCGGGTCTACCAAGTCCGAGTGCTCTGAGGGCAGCCCCCCTGCTGATGGCCTCCTGAGTGAAGTGGCCGAGGATGGCCCTGCTGGTGCGCCCGCCCTGTCACAGGCTTCCTCAGGGGCCTGCTTTCCCCGGAAGAGGGTCAGCAGCAAGTCATTGAAGGTCGGCATGATTCCAGCTCCCAAGAGACTATGTCTCATCCAGGAGCCGAAAGGTGAGTACACAGCCATCAGCACAGCGCCCTCAGAAGGGGTCTTCTGTTTAACACCTGAAGAGGAGTCATGGTGCTTATTGTGGGCCATGGAAAATCGTGGAGACGTTCCTGACTGCTTTGAAGAATTTACTGGCCTTCAGCCCAGGTTCAGCTGTGAGATGACCAGCTGGCCCCTGTCACCCTTCCTGCCTCTGATTGCTTTGGCTAATGTGGACGTTACCTTTCAGAATCCCCCCTGGGCCAACACAACATAGGGTTCTTTGGTCTTGAATTTTTAACCTAAAATAGTGCTACTAGTTTTGTATACCAGTCCAAAATGTTCATGAGAAACTGATGTTTCTAGTTGGTCTAAAGTCGGCACTCTAGAGGGACACTGCATGTGGCTTCTGGCGCCCCACATGCTGCTTGTTATTTTACATAATTGCTCAGATTCCAGCAGAGGAATCCTGGCAGTGGAAGGAATGGGCCTGGGTCACCTTGTGGCTGTTTGCTGTCTGTGATCTTGAGGGGTGCCCAGCTTTCTGAACCCCGCAAAGGCCCCAGGGTAGTGACGATGAGACAGGAGGATGTGGAGCAGGACTAGTCTCGGGTAGTCGTTAGTGGGAGCTGTGCACTCCCTGCTCTGCCTGCCTTGGCCATGGAAGGCCATCTCCTGCTCCTGTGTTGGGAGGGTCAATCTTCTTGAGATACAGTTTACTAGCAACAAAATGCATCCTTTTCAAAAAGTGGACAGTGCAAGGAGTTTTGACAAAGGTACATAGGCATGAACCGCTCCCAGTACGGCAGAGGTGGAGCCCATTCCAGAAATGTCTCCGTGTTCCTCTTGGGTCTCCTCCTCTACCCAGCCCTGGCAGCCACTTTCTGGCTTTGTGGTTTTGCTTTTTCTAGAATGTCAGTTGGTGCATCATCATGTGCTGCCTTTCGTTAGGCTGCCCGCTGCCCACCCAGGTGTCTCCACACAGCCAGGCCTGGGCCATGTTTCATGTATGGGGCTGATGCTTCAATACTTGTGTGTGAGGCAGTTTTGGTGAACAGCAGTCCGTCGTGTGTGTAGAACCTGTGTGTTTCACGTTATTGAGGCCATCACATTCACCCCCACTAGTGTCAGTTTCTACTGCTGATGAAATAGTTCTCGTGGTTTGTGTTTAGAAACCTTGGCATTGCAATGGATTACTAACTATTCTGCCAAAATCTTGTCCTTCAGAACTTAGCACAAAGGGTGGTAGCACATCAGAATGACTGCTAAGGTGGTCTCCATGGGGGGAACGTGGAGTTCTTTCTGTTTTAGAAGCTCTCAGTTGCTTGATAGGGTGATTGATTAGACAGTACCAGACCTGCTGATCTACCCTGTGATAACATGTGTAAATATGGTAATAACTATAATAATAATGTGATTTGGCGCTCTGTAGGAAAAGCATGTTTGTTTTACTGGAAAGTTACACGTGGACTTTAATTATCTATGGAACAGTCCCAGAGACACAAGGAGGGCACAGTGTTGCAAATAGTTCATTTGTTGAAACAAAATATATTCCTACAGTCATGGAAAATGATCCCCGCTTCCAGTCCTTCATCATAAATGTGGGAGTCACACTTAAGTAGACTCTACCACAGTGAGGCAGCCCTCAGTTGAGGCGGTGTTCTGCGTCTGTGCTCTGTGGGTCACACGATTCCTGAGAGGAGCGAGGGCCAAACGGCTGGTGTTGTGGTGCAGCTCTGAGCCACCTTCTGTCAGCAGAGGGGCTCTTAGCCAAAACTGCAGCACCCTCATTTTCTTTCTTAGTAACTTGGGGAAAGCGCATATATATGTGTGTGTGTGTATTTCTTTTGTCTTCTAGTTCACGAACCAGTTCGAATTGCCTATGACAGGCCTCGGGGTCGTCCCGTGTCCAAGAAGAAGGTGAGCATGACTGTGAATCCTCCCGTGTGACGTAGTCAGAGTTTGCCAGCGTTTCAAAGGATACTGTGGCTGTGACTAAGCTATACTCATACTTCAGGCCAGGTGTCAGTTTTTCTCTCAGGGGCTTTTCTCTCCAGGGGCTTCTTAAAACTGTTTTGCTTTGTCCAAGGAGGAAGTAATTAGTCCATTTAATGGATGGGTGAGTCTGAAGAGATGAACAAGATGTCTCAACCATTGAGAAGTTCAGATTTAGTGAACTACAGTTGTGATTGAAAGAGTGCACTACTTTGCTAGTAAGTGGAGCACGTGCTCGTGTGTGTTCATTAACTGATCAGCACCTCCTATGTGCCCAGCCCATCTACCTACCTAGAGGCAGCAGTGAGCAGGGCTGGCAGCAACAGAAATGTACAAGATCCAGTCATCGGGGTGCTGTGGGTGCAGAGAAGCAGGTCAAAGGGAAATGGGGTATAATGTGGGTTGAGGGGTACTCTTTAACCAGGGGGGCCTAGGAGAAGCCTCAGGGCAGTCATATTTCAGCAGGGGCCCTTTATGCCTAGAGTGGAGTGATGGGGGTGGTGAGGTGAGGAAGTAGAGGTGCAAGCACCCAGGTCACTTCAAGGTCTGTAGATGGATGTCAGCACCGTGGCCCCTTTTCTCGGAGACACTCTCAGGGAACCATGGTGGTGATTTGAGTGGAAAGCATAGCCACTTTGGCTGCTGTGTTGAGAGCAACCTGTGGGATCAGGGGCCAGGCAGACTCGGGAGACCAAGTGAAGTTAGTGGGACGTGCTGATGGGTTGGATGTGGAACAGATAAAGTCACGAATCCAGGGTGACTCCAGGGTTGTCAGCCTGGGCAGTTATGAGGATGCAGCTGCCATTGACTGAAATGGGGAGTCCCTCTGGGGGGCAGGTCATTGGAAGGAGATGGGGGCACACTCCAAACAGCTGATTGGACGTCTGTCAGAGCAGGTGAAGCTGAGCAAGGTAACCAGGGCTATATGTGGGGACATCTAAGGATCCCACAGATCATTAGAGATCAGGAAGGTAAGTAAGGTAGCTGGTGAGGTCTCTACTGGTGTCAGATTGGGAGGAAAGCCCGTGTAGTGGCTCAGACCTAAGTGCATTGTGTCAGTCTCAATGGCCAGAGGAAGTATCAGTGTGACCCCAGTTACAGTTGGGAGCAGGGACCTTCCTGTGCCCGAAGCTTGTGGTCCTAAATGGTGTGCTGGCTTTTAAGCTGAGATAGCACCCGGGTACCCTTCTGGTGGCTTGGGTGAAGGCGCAGCCTGGTGAGGGGACAGCTATTTCAGGCTCACCTAATCTTGGCATTTGAATCCTGAAGTTCCATTTGTACATCTGTAAAGTGGGGCAGCTATACCAACCATGCAGGTAGGAGATACCTTGAGGATTAAACAAAATGCATGTTAACTTGGTGTGTAGCCACTGTCCTGCAAAGTGGGTGTTTTTTTTGGGGGGGGTGACTGCAGGCAGGTAGGAGACCTCCCCTGCAGCTCTCTGTGTGCACCTCAGCCTGGCCCATGGTGCACGGCTTTTCTCCAGCCCCAGGAGACCAGGCAGGGTGATTCTTAGACACAAATTGAAAACTCAGAGAGATCTGTCCAGGCTGAGCTGATCCCTGTCCCTCCCATTGCTCCCACCTGAGCGGCTTACCTGACATTTGGGGAACCCGTGGCCAGCCTTTCCTCTGCCTCCCCCACCCTCTTCCCCTCCCGCATTTGTTCCCTACTCAGACCCCCTCTGCTACTCCAGCTGCCTTGATCAGGACAGAGGGGCTCTCTCCCCAGGAGTGTGTAAGACCCTCTTGGTCTCCTCAGTCTGTGTTGAGTGTTAAGTAAATCGGTAAGAGAAACACGGGCTCAGGCAGCAGGGACTGAGCCCCCAGCTGCCCAGCAGTTCCAGCACACTGTGGATGCTGATGAATATTCATGATTGAATGGAAGTCCCCTCTGCTCATCCTAGGCAGGCTCCTCCTCTAGAGGCCTCCAGGCCTCTTAACTTATCTTCCCGCAGCCAGCTCTGGAGCCCAGATCTCCTCCAGGTCTCCTTACCGCTGCGCCTGTAAGGTCCTGCCCAGCTGCACTAGCTCCCAGTGAGGTCTGCTCTGTGGTAGACATGGACTCCCGAGTCCAAGTAAAACCCAGTCCTTGTCCTTAGGAAGCTCTCAGAGCTCCAGACCTGGGAAGGAACAGACAGACAGACACACATGAGTCAATCAGGTTTGCTGAGCAGTGCCCAAAGGCAGCCAGGGAAGTTTCCAGGCTGGAGTCACACTGCTCATAGTTCTGGAAGCCCATAGGAATGAATGAAGCAATGGGGTGACGGGGCAGGGGGTCAAATCGGAAGGACCCTTTGAGCCAGTTTTCTGCACAGCCTCTCTCCACCACCTATCTGGCCCCTCCTGCCTCAGTCCTGCCTCTGCTCTGACTCCTGCACTCCAGGGCCTTCTTTCCTCAAGGCCTGTGCCCTGTTTCCTCAGCCTGGGATGTGCCCTCTGGTTATCACGGGGCCACACTATTTATCCATGTCTCCACTCTGGGTTCTTCCTACTGACTCTTTGGTGCCAGGACCCACATCCCCTCATGAAGTTGAACTCACAGTCTTACCATGGCAGTAAGAGTGGTCACGGTGAAGCCTAAGAGGCTGATCCAGCTCAGTTCTGTAGGGGCACCTGAGGCGGGTGACCTCCAATCTTTAGCAGCCTCAACCTACCCAGGGACTGTTGCCAGGAACTGGGGAGGTGACCATGGCTTGATCTTGAGCGTCTGGGGAGTCAGGGAGGCATTAGGGGTATTAGTACTGGGGCATGTCCAGGTGCAACCCAGGGCAGACCCTCGTTCTTCACTCCACCCTACATGCCACTCTTCTCTCTCCTCAGAAACCCAAGGACTTTGATTTCACTCAGCAGAAGCTGACCGACAAGAACCTGGGGTTCCAGATGCTACAGAAGATGGGCTGGAAGGAGGGCCACGGCCTGGGCTCCTGTGGGAAGGGCATCAGGGAGCCCGTCAGCGTGTATGCGGCGGGTGCTGGGGGCCAAGGGTGGGGATGGGCAGCGTGCCTGGGGAGATGAGGCTTTCTGTGGGATTCTTGTCCTCAGTCCTTTGGTCATCCTGATTCTTGGTTTCTCTCATGTTGAATGTGGCTTGAAGCAGATCATTGACACATGCAGGTGTTCACACAACTCCTTGCACTTGAGTAGACTTGGTCCCTGGCATTTGGCCGCATTCATTATTGTCATAAAAGCGGAGTAGTAATACTGGGTAGTTACACTAAGAACCGCTTACTTCCCTTTTCCGAGAACCCATACGCAGACTAGCCTGGGTCCAGGGTAGAACATGGCCCAGAGTTAAAGCCCCATTAACATCCAACAAGCATTTCAGTTAAAACTGAGCTTATCACCTGCTGGGGAGGCTTTCTGCTGTAATCAGGGGCTGGTTTCTGAGCATGCCCCTCAGAAGTTTCACATACCTGCACAGGTGAGTACCCCTTGTTCCCCACAGTGAATCATGTCTTTACTTTCCCTTTCCCTTGCTGTCACTGTTATGTGTCCCTCATACCTCTGTCCCACTCTGACTGCTCGGGCTGTTTTCGGTCTCCTGGTGGCCAACTCTGGGCTCAGGTGTGGCTAACTCTCCATTTTGCTCCTTAGGGGAACTGCCTCAGAAGGGGAGGGGTTGGGTGCCGACGGGCAGGAACACAAAGAAGACACGTTTGATGTGTTCCGTCAGAGGATGATGCAGATGTACAGACACAAACGGGCCAACAAATAGGTATGTGTGTGAGCTAGTGTGTGGGGCAGACTGCCTAAGCTGACGTTCTGGTTCGCAGAGAGGCTTCCTCCAGAAGAGTTGGTGTGCCCCATTCCTCAAAAACCAAACATCAAAATATCACCCCCCAAAAAATTCAAAAAATTCCATGAGGGAAAAAAAAGGAGTGTTTGGATGCAGATGTATCCCACCTCTCGCCTTCCAGGTTTGCCTGAAGGAGCGAGCCCCATGCTCTCCAAGAGCAGCTGTGTGCAGCCCATGGCGGGGCCTCAGCTCAGGGCTCCCAGGCTCGACTGCACGTGGCCATCTTGTGGAAACAAGCTGCCACAGGAGTGGCCTTGTGTCCTGCAAGTGTAAGGGTGACCTGGAAGCTGGCGCAGCAGAGGATGCCACTTTGCCTCATGCCTTTCTGAGGGTCTTCAAATCCTTTTCCTTCTGAAGGGCTTTTGACCTATAAATATCTTCATCTTTCTCCTCTTTTTAGTTGCCCTCTCCACCCATAATTTCCAACTCAGTTTTGAACAAAATCATTCTCTCCCTAAATAGATGAAAACCATTGGTGAAAAAAGATAAGCTTGAAGCAGCAATTACTCTTATAACGCCACCTCTGTCCTGGATCTGCCCTGGAACCAGTGCCCAAGTAGGTTTGGTGTGTACGTGGAAAACAAACTACAGTTTCTGGTGCAGAGGGTCCACCTGCTGGCTTTTCTTTTTCTTAAAAAAAGAGAATGCACCATTTTCAGTCTGCTTTGGCCTTTTCCCCCTCTTCCAAATGCTTCTGGCAGCAGGTCCTCTCCAAGTCTTCCCTGGTTCCCCTCAGAAGGTGGGGCTGCCCTTGAAAGCACCAGTGCCTTATAAGTGCTCAGGAACTCCTGTCGGTTTTCCTGTCCCAGGACACGTTGCTCTCTAAAAGTGATCTGTTAGCAAACTTGATGCTGAAACAGACAATCACAGATCATATCTTCTCAAATTTAAATAGGGAACGTAAATCAGTAATAATGAAGTCCATGCTCTGGTCCCACAGCCTGTCAGTTGGAGTGCTAGAGCCCTTTGAACAAGTGGAGATACTTGATTCAATGAACGTGTTATTTATGGAGTCTCATCTCTTAAATGCATCCCAAGAGACTTAATGAAATTTCAGCAACGTATTCAGCAGCTATATTCAGTGGGGAGTAATCATTACACTGATGAAACTTTCCCCAAATTTACATGTCTCTTTAGAATCCTCAAAGGAAACTCGTTTTTCTTTTTTTTCCCTAAACCACATATGGAGTCTCCTACAAAGGGGTGGGAGGTGTAAACTCTTCAAGACACTTCATTTTTTGCATATGTGGCAGTGTAAAGAGTTGTTTTATTAGGGCCTTTGTACAGAGCAGAAAGGATCCTCTTGGGGTGGGCTCTGCAGCTGTTTGCTATTTGAAGGCATACGATGGCCGCCCCTTCCAGCTTCCCGCACTCTGCTTCTTGCAGCTACATGCGAAATTCTCAGGCTGTGGGAATCTCTCAACCCTTCCTCATAAAACAGCAGTGTTGAAGTTTTAAATATGTGCCAAAATCTGGAAAACTTGGGATCCTGCTGATACTGCAAGCTTGGGGAACACAGCAGTGAGTTATCCTGTTGGCCACTTCTATTGGCTGTTAAGAAATCCTTGCTTTCTCAAAGCCGCAGATCTCCTGGGCTGAAGTCCCAGGCTCCTCTGGTTCTGTCTTGTCTGTCTGGCCTGCGCTCATCGGCACAGTGTCACAGGCCTGTCAGCATCTCATGTGCCCACCTGATGCTGCCTTTCTTCATGTCAGGTGTAGTCCCTAGGGTTCTGCTTGTTTCTGGTCACTTTTGTTGCTTTGGCAACTGGCAGATCTTAATGGCCAACAACACGCTGGAGGTGCCTTAGCAGAATTGAAACAGCCGGCAGGCATGGTGTGGTTTTGAGATTCATTTTTTCCTCTCTGCTAATCCTTCCTGTAGCCTTCCCTGTTGGCTGTGGGTTAGTGGTAGAACCTTCAGAACAGGGCCTTGGTCCCCTGTGGCCTTTCACAGAGCACCTGTTGGCCCTAAGTGATGCATGCACCCTGCCCAGCATGGGTTCTGGCCCTTTCAAGCATAGCTCTGACTATCATATTCACTTTGTCTTAGTGGGCTTATTCTTGGCTTTCTCTGCTTTTATTTACAAGTAAAATACTTTAGGAATTCCCAGGGTTTGAGCCCTGTTCCCACAGCCTCCAGCCACTCCTCCTCCTGGGGATGTCTTGCTTTGAGCTGACACTGTGAGCCTTTGGCAGATGTCAAAGGGAATACATACTTCTTGAGCCTGGAAAGTCCTGTGAGCACTCAGGTGATGCTTCTATGGAGTTGACTTTGAGGCAGTGCAGGCACTGCGGGAGCTGGGGTGGAGCGTGGTGGTGCATCCTCAGGGAGACCAGTGTGCTGGCTCTCCGCACCTGCCCTCGCTCTCTCCAGCAGAGGCCGCTCTGCAGGGAGCGGGCGTGCAAGCGAGCGCGATGTGCAGTTGCATAGCCTTGTCAAAGTCACAGTGTCTTTTCTGTCATTCTAGTTCCAGGGTCTCTTCCGTGAGGACGACAGGCATCCGGAAAGTGTTAACTCGCCACTTTGGGTGCTTACTGTCTCTGCCTTGTTTCCATCACTGGAAATCATATATAGAGAATTTTAGCATTTTTGGTCCTTGGTAAAACCTAGAAGATGTTTGTGATGTTACAAAGTGGAAGTTTTTTTCTTTCTTTTTTTTAATCTGAGAAGTTGTGAATGTTGTTAATCATTTAGCAGTTGAAATAAATGTAGAGGAAACCCAATTTTCCATGGTCTCCATTGATGTGTTTTTAAATTAGACTGGTTGGGGAATGCATGGTAGGTGTTGTAGTGCCCACGTGGAACACGACCGTAAACCCTGTGGCCTCCCAGGCATGCCTTCTGCCTGCCAGGGCCTCTCCGACTGGCCTGCCACAGCTGGAGGGCCTGGTAGGTCACCGGGAAAGCCCAGAAGGTGCCAGAGACTGGGTAGTGATCAGGGCCAAGCACAGTGGGTGGGTGCACCCTGTTCTGTGGGGAGGAGAGTTTATTGCTGGGTACAGAAATCTGCCTTTGAGAGGGTATTGGGACGTAGGAGCCTTACCTGAGCCACCTGTGATTCACCTGCCCACCTCAAGACCTTACTGATCTGAAGGTCAGGGTTCCAGCTGCCAGAGTTAGACCAAGGCCCACTTGGGCTTCCCCCTGACGGAATAAGCAGTGCATGGGACGTCTTCAAAGCTCCGTGCTATCCCCAGTGCTGCCCTGCCTGTGTCTGATTCCTCCATCAGCAGCTCCTTGACCTTCCTTAGGAGGAGGGAGGGTAAAGAGCACGCAGCTGGGCAAGCCTGGCACCTACAGGACCTGTGGGGCCTCCGCCTGAGCACGGCATGATGGGCAGGAGCTCAGAGTGTGGTTGTACCCAGGGCAGAAAGGAGCCCAGGAGAGGTTTTGGGGGCTTTGTCAGGTTAGAGGAGGGCCCCTTAGGAATCTGATGTAGGACCCCTGAACCTGCCTTCTCCCCACTGTGTCCCAGAGGACACGCAGAGGAGTGACAGGGACCCACATGACCATGATGGGAGCTATTGTCAGCCAAGATCCTCCCACACATTTGCCTTCATCTTCATGAGAGCCCTGGACATGGGTGTCTGACCGTGGGCTTTACTGCCAGTCCCTGAGAAAGTCACTCATAACCTACAGGGACCAACCCCATTCCCCCTCCCTCTTGGGAGACCACAGGTGATGTGAACAGCAGCAGGGAATAGCTTCCAGCAGCCCCCCTGCCCACCTCCTCTTCACTCCTGCGTGGGGTTGGGAAAGGTCACTTAGATGAGGACACATGGAGTGGGGTTCTCCAGCCTGGGATACCATTCAGGCTTTGACCTCAAGCAGGTCTCTCCACCTCAGGCCTCAGTTTCCCCTCGCAGTCTGGGAAGAATTTCTTCCAGTTTGGAAGGTAAATTTCTGCTCCCTTGTCATTTATGGCTACCTGCAACCTGAACATGCCAGTCTCAACCTGGAGGGCCCCTCCCCTCATCTTTCCCCCTTCACCCCCCCCCCCCCGCAGAAGCCTTCTGGACACCCCAGGACCCTGAGAGGCAGAGGGTGCTGCCTGAGAAGCTGCAAGCTCCAGTATTAAAGCAGGCCTTTGCTATGCCTGCCTGCACACGGACGTATGTGACCTGTGCACATGTAACACATGCAAACATGCACGTTCAAGCAACACAAGTATCTTCTCCATAAAAGATTTTTTTTACTGCAAAACTCAGATGCAGAACAAAGCACAGAAGTTTTCCCTCCTTCCAACTCCTATGTAAAAATAACATAAAAAATAAAGACCTCATAGCCTGTAATCCAGGCTATAGACTGTGACAGATCTTCAATAATCAGTGGCCTCTCTGGACTCTAATCCTCACATCTAGCAGAAGCTGGCCCATTTCCCAGTGGAGAAACTGAGGCCTGGGACAGTCTGACTCCAGACTCACACTAAATGCCAGGATTTCCAGTTGGTCTCATCTGGTTTGGAAGCTCCCTGTTTACACATGTGTGCATGTACACACAAAGACATGCATGTGCAGACTCAAAAGACCCATGCATATATACACAGACACACCTGCGCACACATACATACATACATACATGCCATTTCTATTTCACAGTCAGGAATTGCAGCTCCAAGATGAATCTGGCACCAGCTGCTTCCTTCAAGACCCAGGAGGGGGACCTCACGAGCTGAGCTTCTCTTGATTTTCCTCCAGAGGTTGTGCAATTTGGACTCATGGGATCGCCACCTCCCAGTTCCTCAAGTTCTTGGTCCAGGTCTGAGAAACGAGGTTTCAGCTGCGAGATTTCAGTGTCTACATCTCGATGAGTTGCTTTTGCCCAGAGGTAGCTCAGAGCAAAGCTGCGAGATTTCAGTGTCCACATCTTGATGAGTTGCTTTTGCCCAGAGGTAGCTCAGAGCAAAGCAGAACCCAAGGGTCTGAATCTTCGGTCCTAACGTGTCCTCCCTGTGCTGTGTGACCTGGAACGAGTGATCCACATTTCCGAGCCTTAGTTGCTTCATTTATAGAATGGGACAACGGCAGTATCTAGTGCCAGGCTTCTGAGAGTCAGAACCAACATGCTGCGAAGATCACAAATGTTCACTGTACTGTTTCCGTCATTCTGTGTCACTGGGATCCTATCATTGAGGCTTTCTGTTGGCCTGTTCTTTCTAAAAATAAAGTTTCCAAGTACTTGCCTGAACCCTATGATGTGATGGAAGGGCCACAATGGGTTATCTTGGAAAATTCACTTCACGCCGTAGAACATCAGTTTCCTCATTTGTAGAATACGGATATTACCCCATCCCGGATCATCAGCTGAAAAGAGTGTGTGCGAGCAAAGGATTTGGAGGAGATCGATGCAGGCAGCCGATAATTACCTAAGAAGCGTCCTCTCGCTGACCACAAGCCCAGGTAAATGTTAGAATTGCTCGTACCCAGTGCTTGCCTGTGTTGGTGGGAACAGCACTTTCCTCCTTGCTGGCTTCCATGAGGATCACTGCAATTGTCTTGTTTCTTATTGATGTAAAATTCGCATAACGTAAAACTTACCATTTTAAAGTGAAAAATTCAGTGACATGTAATACATTCAGTGTTGTGCAAGCACCATCTCTATCTGGTTCCAGAACATTCCCATCACCCCAAAAGGAAACCTCATGCCCATTAGAGTAGTTTTTCCCCATTTCCCTTCCTCGGCCCCTAGGAATCTCTAATCTGCTTTCTGTCTCTGGATTTGCCTGTTCTGGACATTTCATAGAAATTGATCATATACTATGCAGCCTTTTGTGTCTGGCTTCTTTCACTCAGCATGATATTTTCAGGGTCCATTCATATTGTAGTGTGTATCAGTGCTTCATTCCTTTTAATGGCTGAGTATTAGTCTATTGTACAGCTGGACCATATTTTTAAAAAATCTTTATTTATTTCCCACTAACAGAGGCACTGGGATTGAACCCAGGATCTCATGCATGTCAAGCATGCACTCTACCACTGAGCTATATACCCCCTACCCCACCCCTGGCTGGACCATGTTTTGTTCATCCATTCATCTGTTGATGGACATTTGATTGTTTCTGCCTTTTGGCAATTGTGAATAGTGCTGCTCAGAACACTCATGTACAAGTTTTGGTTTGAACACCTGTTTTCAATTCTTTTGGGTCTATACCTAAGAGTAGAATTACTGGATCATATAGCAACTCTCTATTAAATCTTGTTAGGAACTGCCAAGCTGTTTTCCAGGGCGTTGCACCACACTCCAGTGTCTTTAAAAGCCCTGATCCTCTCCTTCATGGGGTAAACCCACTGAGGTCAACCCAGGGCATGACTCTCGATGTCCACAGATGTGAGTCAGAATCCTGGGAACAAAACAAATAGAGGGAAGGTAGGAAGATGTTAAGGAAACTTTGGATGTGAAATATGATGAACCTTTTCACAAAGGAGTTCGATCCCAGAAGACAAAATCCAAAGCGCGATGTGATTTTTGTAGAATCCGAAAGGATAAAATTGCAAAAGTGTGATGTGATTTTTGTAGAAATTTTGTAAAATGTAAGCAGATAACCCATGTACAGAGAAGGGTCTGCTCCAAACTGAGTATCTGGGAAAGTGGTGGGAGTTGGGCGGAAGCTCTTCCCTCCCTGTCCCCAGCCATGTGCCCGGGCACACCGAGAGTGCACACCCGTGCAGTTTGAAAAGAAAACTCATCGAAGAACATTCAAAGGAAGTAACAAATGACGAAGCATGTGCTGGCAGCAATCGTCGGTCTTTGTTTCAGAGGCAGCTGTGGTCTTAGGAGAAAAAAGCACCAGGTGTGAATCTAGACAGTCTCTTCCTGTGTCAAATGGGTGATTAAACATTGCTTCCTCCAGGATTGCTGTTCGTAGGCTGCCATGAAAATCCCTCCAGCATCTCTCTGACAGTCTCTCAGTAGCCTCTGTCCATCTACTTGTTGGTTCACTCACTCACTCACTCATTCATTCACTACATATTTGATAAACACCTAACTGCTCCTTCTTCGCAGTGAAATTACAAACTGCAGTCAGTGGTTTGAAGGAAACATCCAAGGCACAAATAAAGGGCCATATGGTCTGGTCTGTGAGATAATATTTTGCTAGAGACCTGAAGGATGAAGAGCATGCCAGGCAGAGGGAGTGGCATGTGCAAAGGCACTGAGGTACAAATGATCTCAGCTGCAGGACGAGGAGGGAGAGGAAGAGAGGAGAAAGCAATGAGGGTTAGGGTTTCTGGAGTGGGCGACAGCACAGATTTTATCCCAAGGCAGTAGGCAACCATGGGAGGCTTCATAGCACAGCAGGTGCATAGCCCTATTTATACTTTTTTTTTATTGTGGTAAAAGTTACATGAGGTAGAAGTTACCATTTTAAAGTGTTTAATTCCATGGCATTTAGTGTTGGACAACCATCACCTCTATGTAGTGCCAGAACATTTTCATCATCCCAAAAGGAAACCCCATACCCATCAGCAATCGCTTCCCATTCCCCATCCTTCAGCCCCTGGCAGCCACCAGTCTGCTTTCTGTCTCTCTGGATTTGCTAGTCCTGGACATTTCATATAAATGGGATCATACAACATGTGACCTTTTATATCTGACTTCTCCAATGGATATATTTTTTGAATTGAAGTATAGTCAGTTACAATGTGTCAATTTCTGGTGTACAAAATAATGTCCCAGTCATACATATATATATATTAGTTTTTATATTCTTTTTCATTAAAAGTTA